AAAAAAAAAAAAAAAAATTGATTAAAATAACTCATTAGAAGTATTGGTTATAAGATATAATTACATAAATAGAAAAAAAAAAATTTCAATTTATCTAAAGGTGAAAAACATTTTTTTTTTTTCAAGTCTCTCCTATATACAATTTTTGATGATGAAAAGTAATTTAAACTGAAAATAGGAATTTTCACTTTCACGCTTTTGTGAAGGCGGTGCCGAACAAATTAAAGTCGAAGTTTATTAGAAAAGCTCCTGAAAAGACGTCTCTATCAAAAACGGGCTGATGGAAGTTTATAATTACATGTTACCAGCGAACGACCCCGTTTCGGCTGAAAACAATATCCGCGTTACCTCGGGACTTGATACAATTTCTATTTTATCATTCTCGTACGTTTTATACCATAGATGACGTTTCATGTAGTACTCATAGAAAAACCTAATCCATACGTACCCAAAATAAATGCAACGAAAAATATAATACATCAAATTCGTAGAAGTGCCAAGGGACCGAGATGAAAATTTATTGTTGTGTTTTGAAAGCAAGTAGTATTATACTATATGTCTCATGAACCGTATGTCTGCACGAAATAGTAGATTTTGTACCTGATAAGGCATGTCTACCAGAACAAGCACTAGATCCGAGGGATTTGCAAAGTGGGACTCAAGGGATCCCTCGTGGACGCACACCATGTGTCAACCCTACATTTTTCTGTTATCGAAAACTTCTTCGTACTTAACGGAGTTAATAATACAGATAAACGAAAATATGTGCGACGTATCACCAAATAATATGGTTTTTAGATTCTACTGTCGGAGTAAGTAGGAAAATCGATTAGATTGACGTCACGTGACATCAGCTTTTCGATACATCGTACAGAATATCGTTTATCTGGATAAGCCCACGCGGGCATTATTTATCAGATACGTGATACACCGCTAGATCGTATCATCTTGATACGCCATTCACGATGATAATATATGTACACTAAAAATGATGTATGGATACGATCAATTACAATAGTTACACTCGAGGACATCGAAAAGATCGAGGTTGAGCTAACGTTTCGTTTGCTTCGACTTTTCAATGTATCATTCGCCTGAATAAGGCCCCAGTAAGCGCCCAATCGATGAAGGCACGGAGGTGTTCAAATATGCTCCATCAAGTTATAATTGAACTTTCGAATACCAAACATGTGTACACGAATAAGTTGAAAAAATGTAATTTATTGACTTTTTCCTTAGGAGAGCGACAGACAATACACAGAACGCGATCGCGCGAATTGATCAGTTCAATCAGTAGTATCGGTTTTTTTTCCATTTGAAAAGCTGAAATTTTATGAAAATTTCTAGGAATAATGAAACACTGTCCATAAAATAAAATTAAAATTCGTAAAACGAACCAATAGTGCGTAAATCCACTATTCGAGAACCGAATGCAGTACACTGTTCACAGTCAACGGTACGACGGACAATTGAAAAAGAATGCAAGGAACGAAAGAAGAAGCGATCTAAGAGTAAGAAATCGCATTGAAGAAGAACGAATGGCCCAAGAAGAAGAAGAAAAAGAGGAAAACCCCCAACTTATCTCTTCTCCGTCTTCCTTATCTCGTGGCGCTGTGTATATGGAACTGTAGCCGGCTGGGGCCTTAGAAGAGAAAGGAAATGTATATATAAGGTGCACCTCGTGCTTCCGGACAAATTCGATTTCGCCAGACACGTTCTCAATTTCAATCGCGTCGCCAAGCGCGGGTGAGCAGGCAGACGCGCCAGCCGGGAAAATAAGCCCCGTTCCCCTTCGCTAACCGCCTTCTCTTGCCGGCGATATCTTTATACCTCTGCATTCGCGATTCGCCGACTCTGTCTTTATTGTTTGGTTGTATATACCCAAGCCGATTGTTTATGTGGAAATTACGCAGTCCCATGTCGGGTGCGTTTCAACTTGGACGCACTCACGTGTCGCCGCCTCGGAAAATTATTGCATTGTTGATATATATATATGTGTACTTGTGTCGTTTGTTGGAAAGTCTCGCTGACACGGTTTGAAAACCAGATGAAGCAGATTTAAAAAAACAAGTAACATTTAACAGACATCGCTTTATCATTTTTGCGATAAAATTTCAAACATGAGCTCTCAGTTGGTATACTTCCAATATCTACTTAGAGCCAGGCCTTATTATAAAATGATCGAGTGGATGAATTGTGTTTTACTACATGATAACAAATGGAGATATCTGTGCTGTATAAATTAAATATACTTATTACATTGATATAGTTGTACGTAAATTTACCACATTGTAACATAAAATTTTGTTCATTGTGAATTGTTTTTTATGTTTTTCTAATATTTCGGTTCGGACAAGTGCACGTTACTTGTGACGCGTTGACTATTTAAACAGTTTTTCCTGATAACTCTGACTCCAATCAAAATAAAATAAGCCCTGACAAATTAGATGCAAATAAAAATTGAAACTTTGACGAGTACATTATTGTGTTATTTGTGTTATTGACGATTGCACTGTAGCTTGTAGAATGAAAATTAAAAAAAACTGTAAACTCAAAAGATACATCATTTTTGTTCAACACAAATCTCCGTATCATAGCAAATAAACTCAACCTACCATCTAGATTAATTTATAATAAATCTTCGTAAGGTCATACAACCATCAACCACACCGATCGGTTAACCACCCAACAGGTGTGATTCAAAATTTCTGACCGAAAACTGGAATCATTGAAAAAAAGCGGCTTACATCCGTCGTGAAACAAAAAAAAATAAATAAATAAAAAAGATAGAAAACTACATCCGACGATAAACTAAGTCGGCCTTGGTTCCCTGCCCGAGAGTCATATACGACCTCTCCGTTGTTCCTTTCTTCGTGTATTCTTCTACCTCCCCCCTTTTTTCCTTTTTGAGCACCGACAGGCCTTCGCTCCTTCCTCTTTCGGAATTTTCTAGACTGCAATATCACCGCCACGCCATTTCCCTTTCGAGTGCTCAGCACCATGATAATGGCTAGATATTTTCGCCTACCACTGGTAACTACAGAATGTCTCCATATCGCGGAGGAAAAAAAAACAGCGCGAATCTCTTCCTTCATGAATAGCAGATGTACTAATGGGGTTATTTTTCGATGCTCTTTTTTCCGCTCGACGAGCTTTTAATGTCCGATGTCGAGGGGGACTCGATACGCAGATTTCGCGAATGCTGCTGGGCGGATTATAATACTCTTTTGCGTTGATGGACGAATTTTTCGTACCTTTTTTCGCGACCAACCTGCTACAACTGGGATTATGTTCATTTCATTTGATTCCTTTTTAGGTCATAATACGGCCTGATTTTTAGTGTGGGGAGTGCTCTCCATTTGCCGGAGTACGCGTGATGGGAAAAAAACTCCGAGTAATAATAAACCGATGAAAAAAAAAAGAAAAAAAATACATTGCAACGTGCGTCGACTAAGGAGAAAAAATCTGCTTCACTTTAGGGAATACTCGAGCGAGATAAAACATGCATTTTAGTGATGAAATTAATTAATGTTATGTATTCGCGTATTGCAAGCTATGTATACTGATCAAACAATTTCGAACGTAAATATTTGCCAGAAATGGTCAATAAACTTTTGTTTTTATTGCACGATTCACCTCCGGTAACAACATTTAAGCGCTGGTACTAAACTCAAATTTCGATTCGCCAAAAATTGATTGCATCCTACTTTGTATTTTTCGAAAGCTCCTTGTTTCCCTGGATGAGTTTAAAATTCCTGATGTAATTTGGGCCTGTTTTAATCGAAAAACGAAACGATATGTACTCTTGACTCAGCACGAATTTTCTCTTACATTAAACAATAACTTAAACTGACACGAATCTTTCTTTAACAACAGTAAGTATATTTTGGGACCACAATTGTTAAATTATTTATAAAAAATATCAAAGCTCATTTTAAGCCGAAACATCTTTTCTATAACGTTGTCGATAATTTTTTAAAAGTCCAATCCATTCATTACCCAGCATTACTTTATCTTAATCTCGTGTACAATTGCCTTTTCATTTAATGCACTCAAAAGGGGATTCCACACAACATTTTCAATACTTGAATTTACCTTACCCCCAGAATTTCTTTTTATTTTTATTCAAACAATATGGTTTTTTCCAAAATCTAAAATCGCATCTACTATATTGCAAATAAAACTTCTCTCCCACAGACCGAACTCGAAAATCTACTAGGAGGAAAAAAAATGATGATAATTACAATATAAGTACTGTAAAACGATGACATTTTAACTATTATGGACGTTTTACTCATTTCACCCTAATTTTTACGTTTGAAAAAGTGAAAAGTCTCTACTTTTTTAACTGACTCTCTTTGGGACGGTATACCACCAATATTTACACTGTTGACAATGAACCGTTTGTATACAAAAAATAAAAAATAAAATTTCACAAGAAATAGTAATGAAAAAAAAAAAACCTCCTCTTTGTTACAGGAATCGGAGACGCTGTCCGTGTTTGCGGAGCTGCTGCGCTGTACGAGCGTGCGAGAACTGAGTCTGTGCAACGCCCGTCTCCACTTGGCCGTGCACGAGGGCCCACTGTCAAGGCTGGGCCGCCGTGACGACGCTGGGGCCGAACTGCTCAGGGCCGCGGCGCCACCCACCTGTCCAGACGTCGTTTTCCTCAGGCTAGCTGGTTTTCAGGTACGCGCATGCCACTGCTCACCAAACAGCCCCAATTCCACCTTTTGGTGGTCACCGAAAAAAATTATTAAAATGTCCACCAATGTGTTTCTTACCAACCACTATTTACCATCTGCCAAAACTATCGTTTATCAGCGAGTCAAAAAAAAAAAAAAAAAAAAAAAAAAAGATTGGTGTCGTTTAATTGAGTCTCAAGATAACCGTGCAAGCACAAAACCCACCAGCCGTTGGATACTTGATACGTTACGTAGCTTGAATTTGATATTCGATGCTAATGCACGTTGTATCATTTAATAAACACCCACGTATCCGGGGATCGGGTTGAGCTATACGTAAATTCTCGACTTTTAGCGTCACGAGTATATATAAAAGTCACGACAGCTCGTCGAAAATTGATAAATCCCCTTCGGCGCTACAGTCCGGGGTGGACGTAAATTTCAAGCAAACCGTAGCGTCAAAGTTTCCGAGGCAAAATTTTGCTGTCCGGCCAATGTTTCATTGGTGCTCGGCTGGCCAGTGGTGGCACAATTACACGCTAGGAGTGAGTACCTGTACTCGAAAGTTTCGAGCTCGCGATGGGTATATGAATTGTCGTTATTCGAGCTGTCCCTTCTCTCGATACCGCAACCCTATATATTTTCCTAAACATGGTTGGTTTTCATTCTGCGTTAGAACTCAGTGCCGATCCTGAGGTAACTTTGAATCTCTGGAACTTTATGATTATACACGTGTATGTCGTATGTGTACTGCTCGAGAAAACGAGGACTTTGAGAAAACACGAATTTTTATGGTCTATTCCGAAGTGCGCTCATACAGTTTGTTTTGTCTTGCAATACATATTCAAGCTGCACAAAGTTTGTGATAAGTTTATTTGACTAATTAAATCGAAGCTCATTTAAACCTTGATAATTAAACCTTACAAGTTCAGTCGTCTCTTTTGAGACGAAAGTGTCTCTTTTTTTGTAATTGGCATAGTCGTGTTGTCTCTACTGCAGTATAAAGGTTGTGATCAAAGAAATAAATGCTTTTTTACTGAATTTCAATACCCAAACTTTAAAAAAAAAATTATAGTTGTACGCTATACCTTCTTTCTTTTTTTCTTTTTTTTCAACTATGAAGATTTACATCAAAAAACGTGATGTGTTTGTTTTAGTTATTCCTTCTTTTGTTAACTCGTTCATTATGCACGTACTTCCGTTGTACGCGAATACGTCGTATCTCGTGCTGGACAATCTTTATGGTTTACTTTTTTTTTTTTTTTTTTTTTTATTTAGTTACACGAAACTTTAAATCGGTTGAGCAGGTGGTGGAAGCTAGTCGATTTGGAATACAGGACAATGAGAGAGTCCTAACATTGTTTGAGTGTCAATGTGCGTATTGTTGCGGAAAAAGAGAAACTGTAGGTGCATTGACCGTCGAAAGGGAGAATAAGTTTGGTCGAGTGTTTCGAAATAAATGGAGTTGTAACACGGAGTTCAAAAAAATTTATTCAAGGATTTCTTTTTTCGTTTATTTTTTGTGCTTCGGCGGTCAGACGTGTGTACACGTTATAAAGACATAAAGTAGATGTTGCATTGAAGTACTTTTTTCTTTATTATTAATTTTGTCATGGAATTCACTGTAAAATATTACATTTCACGACTAAAAATGTCGCTAAAAATATATATCCAAAGAATAACCTATCTATATCAACTCAATTAAAAAACGTCCATCAATCGTTACGACATCAATTATTAATTTGGTCGAAAAATAAAAAAAAAATTGATAAATGATGTGTACTAAACATCTCGCATTCCATCGACATCCCAAGAGACGGGGCGTTAATACCCATCGCATCTAGGTAAATAAATACCGACACAACATTTATATATCATACAAAAGAAATAATAGCATTATGCGGCTTTGTGGGATTCAACGATACAGTTATAATCCATGTGAATCACATCACGTGGAGCTCTTTTGTACACCAGTGGTAATCATAAAAGCGCAACAAGCTACTCCTGCATAATCCAGACTATCTTTTATTGCTTGTATAGGAGTAATTCTACGAAAAATTATTTGTAGTAGAATTAATAAAAAATTAAAATTTAATTTTTTGTTGACGTATAGAACTAGAATTATCTTGTTTGTCATATATGGTAGATTTTAGTTTTATAAAATTGCTGTTATAGTTTGAAAATTTTCAGAATTTTTAAGGTATTGAAAAAACATGATTTTTTATTTGTAGTTTTCTTAGCAAAGGCTGCTTGAAGATTAAAAATTTTTTTAATTTGCTATTTCTTTTTGATTACCTTTTGCTTAAAAAAAGGATATATTGACAACAAACTTGGAGTGTTTTCATTCATCGCATTTTTTTTCTTTTTTTTCTACAAAAAAAATAAGTTTAACAGGCGTACATACAAAAAAAACATGGTCTTGTATGAACATAAAATGATAACAAAATAACAATACATGTAATAAAATTTATGATGCATTCCCATTAATTGATTCGTTGTTACCATTGTAATTATTAACATTCTACCTGAATGAAATTTCTATTTTTATTCTTATTTATTTATTTAACTATAGAACATATATTTTTCTGGAATTTCTTGTGTACCTACATATTTATGTGTGGGTTCCATTCGAATAGCGTATCAGTCAAGTCACTTCTCATTCTTTCATTCAGTCCGCTACAGACCAGTCAGTTAATACAAGCACCATAAAAAATACAAAAGACCACAATTGCCTTTTTCCTCGTATGATAAATAGAATAAATGGATAATGTAAGTCAATCCGAAAAATAACTCTGAGTATCCCAAAATTAAAAAAAAAAATTTTTTTTTCAATTTTTATGACGGGATTAAACAGTTTTATTATATTTTTTGTACCAAAGTAAAAGCTAAATAGGTATTTTCAATAATTTCTCATGATACTTATTCTTGGTTAAATTGGATAGAAATCATATTTATTTGAACATTACAAATTTTTCATTCAAAAAACACAAATAAAAATCGTGTAAATAATTGGTTCTAGAAAAAATTTATAAAACTGTTAAAAACTCTGAAACGAAGTGCATGCAAATTACTTTTAAAAAATTATGAAAATTTTGTATGCATATGACACCGCAAGAGCCAAAATGTAGCAGATTTTTTTTGAACTCATAAATTCTATACCAACAAAAAACTTTTTTAATTAAAATTATATGTATACTAATTGTAGTAGACGATGATTGCGAATAATTACTTTACCTTACATCTAACTTTTGTAATATCGTTGTTAAATTTTCAAGGATCTTTCATAAAAATTTCATGATTGATCACCCTATGCGAATGTATTTGACCAAAGGTACCTCGCAAAAAATAATTCCACCCTCGATTCCCCGAAAACCCGCAAAACGAAAATAGATAAAACATTTTAATAATTAAATTATCACCTCGTAAAGTAGCCGCTGCAAACACGTGCTCACTAACAGCCTTCGAAAAATAGCACCTTTGTGCAAAAAAAAAAAGTGGTCAGTATTAGCCGAGTCACACTACACATCGGCTACAGATCCCATATCGCACGAGCGGTTTACTCGATCTCGAGTAAGTATAGGCGTATATCGGGTAAGCGGATGAGCCGATACTGTTTCGAGTATCTCGTGCATCCACTTACACGCGGTGCAACTAAAGCGATATACCCGCAGTACGCGCGATCGCAACGACCGACTGACTGGCGAGTGCTGGCCTCGTTTCCTCTTATTCTCCTTCGCGCGACTTCTGATGGGTATGTAGGAGTCTGCCTCGTATATACATGGGAGAATCGAAACAGAGACAGAACAACAACGCGAAAGCTCGAAAAGTTATAGCTTGCGTGCTCCGTTGGGCTATACATAAGCATACCTTGCGGGCCGGAAATCGCGATCAAGGTCAGTACCAACTGTACCATCGATAATCTTAATAGGTATACGTAGAGTTTACTTGGTTTAAAAAGCTGCTTATTGTTCAATTATCTAATCTGTATTCTGTGAATGAAATAACTTTGGTTCTCGCGTACTGTACACTTGATTGGATAGTAGATATAATCGTCTCTTTGAAAACGCGACTGACGCAAAAACTTGCTCGTTTTTACGAGCTTTTTTACTTCGTTACATTAGATATTTTTTTCAACTGTAATGAGTTGTCATGTTTTTTGCGAGTCGTTATCTGTAATTTGAAACTATCAATTAGTTTACTTGTAGAAATATTGGTTTAAAAAAAAATGTGCACCATTATCGTAGATATACCACGAGCTTCGTTACTGTTCGCCAGATGTTTTTGTTTTATAGATTTTTTTTTTTTTTTACATTTCATGAAACTGTTGGGAGAAAATTTTCGAAAAATAGTGTTTAACTAATTATTTATTATTTTTTTGGCTTAGGTATCGTTTTATAAAAGTTCCTTAATTAAAATGTTATCATTAAAATTTTATCTTCAATTAAAATTTATTTTAATTAACAATTAGTTTCATTCCTGATTGAAAATTTTTTTAACTGAAAATCAAACTCAATCGTTTATTAAAAGGGTTTTCTACTCACAAATAGATTTAATTGTTTCGTAAAATATTGCTTGAAACTTGAATAACAGTGTTTCTTCTGTAGTGATCAATAAAATGTACTATTCTATTTTAATCATCAAAAATAAAATTTAAATTTTTATTAAATCAAATTTCAATTTATAATAAAATTTCGTTTAATTCACTTGTTTCGATTAAGAATTGAATTTGATATTGTCAATTGATATATGAATCAAGTAAAAAATTAACTTCGATTCTTCATGAAATTGTAATTGAATTGAGATTTAATTGAATCATTCAGAACCCTGCTCGAAAAAATACTCACTCATCGTATACGTTTTAAGCTAACAATCTAAATTTTAAAATGGTTTCGGCTTGCTTTTCAAAAATAATAATGTAAAGTTTATCAGTTAGTGTACGAAAGATGACATTAAAATGATTCGTTCATGTTTTTTGAAATAAGACCAACCCTCATCACGTAATATTCTCATTACACGGAGACAGCAGAACTTTGTCTGGTGATTTCCAAATGCAGATATCACTGCCATCCACGAATGAACAAAAAAAAATCTTATCCTCGTACATATGAAGCCAAATAAATTTCTTTATGATCGTTTATTGGCTTGACAACAATGAAAATGCCACACTCTTAAAACAATATAGAGATAGTTTAAATTTGCGGATGATTGACAACATATACTGATTCCAATAAAACTTTTCGATAATTTATGTCAAAAAAATAACAAATCGAATAAAAAATTGGTTACCTCATCAGTGTTACCGGTTTTTATACTTCAATGCCCTCTGTTGTCAAGTGATTCAGCGTTTGTATAAAAAAGGGTTTCAAAATTCGTTTATAAATAATTGAGAACGATTGAACAAAAAAAAGAAATTTGAGAAAGAATAAGTACACGACTGATCAAAGAGACGTTGCAGCACATCGACGTCTCCGACGCAGTAGGTGGTCGGTCGCGTACATAACTAAATAACGCAACTTTCACTTTTCCGCGCGCACTCCTGCACTACACACGCAAGTGTGCAAATTACTTGCAGTGTGGTGCTTATACGTGCTACTGCGCTTCCTCCTCTTCCTCTTTCACGCTTAAAATATTAATTGCATTCGTTTTGTTGCGTAAATATCAAATTTTCAAAAAAAAACCTTTTATATCGAAATAAAATACCTACATAATAAAATTACTATTAATATTTAGTAAATAAAAAAAAGAAGTCCCATTGTTAACTTTTTGTCTGTTTGCCCGGTTGACAAAACAGGTGACGGTTAACGACAGACTGGCACTACGGGGCCCGTTGCTGCTGCCCTTCCTTGCGGGCTTCACGAGCTTGAGCGAGCTTGACCTCTCGCTCGACAAATCAACAGTCGGTAACAACAACTACTCGAGCAGTGGTAGCTCGCTCCTGTTCATCGACGACCGTATCCTCGTGCAGTTCTTCAGTTGCCTGGCCAGTGGTTTCCGAGGCCTCCAGTCGCTCCGCATCAACCACTGGCGCGTCAGCCTCGAGGAAAGCGAGCGCAGCCTCCGGCAGATCGGCAAGCAGCTGCAGCGCGGTTGCACGAGCCTGAGCTTTCTCAAAGCGGCCGGGCTCTACGTTACCGACAGCGCCAAAAAGACAAGGATCGAGCACTGCCTCGTCCAAACGCTCCTGGCTAACCTGCACTCGCTCGCCTGGCTCTGCATAGACGGAGTCGAGCTCGCCGAGGCCCAAGCTGCAAGTATCGGCAAATGCGTGCGCGAACGATTTTCAGGCTCGAGTCTCGAGATCAGCGCCAAAGACGTGCACGTGAGGGCCGTCAAGGCGCTTGTTACGAGCATCGAGGAAGCCGGCCGGGCCGAGGTACTCTACGCTGGTGGCGCTGCCTGTCGGCTCAAAATCACCAAGATACAGAAGGGCTCCAAAGCTCGAAGGAAGTGAATACCCTCACTACGGTATACATTGTTTTAAGCTTACCTGAGCGATACTTTTGTTTGTTTTTTTTTTGGTGGGCGTCTCTTTCTCTGGCTGAGCTAATTGTACAGTTGTTGTTAGAAAGAGAGCGATCGCATTCAATCGCAAAGTTTGTTGTTATTGTAATTTTGCAGGGGACGGAAGAAATGTTGATGACGATGGTATATATGTTGTAATTTGTAAATATGAAAGTTGAATCAAACGAAAGCGAAAGTGGGTCGATTTTTATGCTTTGCCAACGATCCGAAGCTGATGATCGTAAAGCAGATAAAGAGTATATTGAGTAGTTTTTGGAGTCATTCAACTGATTTGACTTCGTATCACTTGTTGCCAATCAAAAATATATATATTCTATTTGGAAAAATTTTTATCTAAGAAAATACATACCTTTTCATTGGACTCTGCCTTAAGAGGACGCAGATCCGTAAATGAGGCTCTACTTTCCGGCCGAGGCAAGAATGAAAAGTCACATAAAATTTTTAAAAATTTGTTACAGCTTTTTTATCTGTTGAGAAAACTACATACTTTGTAAGATTTTACTGTTTTTATAAATATTTTGACCCTACTTTTTTAGTTAACGAGTATCGTATTTGTAAAATGACATAATGAAGTTGCTCATGTAAGGTGACTGCAAGTACTGTCCAAATTACAATCGTAAACGCACTGCCAATAAATTTATGCAATTAAAATTTACACAAATATCAAATAACCTCTTTTTTGTCGAAATTGAGTGATGAAATGAATATGTTTATGTATTACACATGCTAATATTACATTGCAAACTAAACATAATTTATGCAAGTTACTGTGATTAAAACAGCTTATACTGGTAGCAATTTCAGCAAAAGAAATATTTCAGCTTGGTGATAAATCTCTCTTGCTCCTTCAATATGTGATTATCATTAATCTCTCTAAATAGCTATCGTAAAAAGTTGATGTTTGCAAAAAATTTATGAATCGAAAATTGAATTTATATAAATTTTTATGCCTTTGACTGACTGATATTGACGTACATTATAAAACATACTTATATGTTTCCGAAACTCCAACTATGAATAAAATTCTGATTTTGAAGAATTTACACTGTAGAAATAAAACGAAAAATCACAATAAAATAAAAAAAATACGCACATTGTTACTTGACATAAAAATTGTATGAAAAACTACCGGTTTGATATGCAATTTGAGCTCAGTAATAATTTGTTCTTCGTAAAACTAGACGAGCCAGCCAAAAGCTTTTAAAAAATCTGTACTTTTACGATACATTTTACTCGCCTTTTCTAACGCTTTTTTTAGAAATATTCACGTCAAAAAAGAGGCTGTTGCAAATTTTAAAGTAGTCGACTTAAGTTGTTGATAGATGAAATTGTAATATACGAGACAGAGTATAATATATATTAAATGGGAAACATGTAATTATTATAGACTAAGAAAAACAATTTTTGAGAGTTGACAGAAATTCGTTGGATAAAAAAAAAATTGAATTTTAACATTTATTAAATAATAATATACATTTATGTACGTGAAAGAGGTGTATTTACAGAATAAGATAGACGAGAAGTAAAAAGCATCAGTTGATGAAATTATAACGAATGAAATCGGACAATATTCCGAGGATTATCACCACTTGTGAAAATAAACGGCATTGTTGAAAAAATAATTATACTGTCAGATGTTAAGGCTGTAGTCCCCGCGAATGCTTAAGCCCATAATTGATTGAAACATAAAAAAAATTTAATATCCGTGTATAATATCGAGTATAGCAAAAGATATCAGAATCGATAAATAAAGTATAAGGTTTATTATCTGAAAATGGCCAAAAGCACGTTATACTGATATATTTTTGAAATGATTAATCATTTTAGCCACTGGAGCCAACATTTGTTTATACTGATAGAAATAATAATTTTATTATTATTAGTAAATGACACAGTTTATCATTAGTGAATTACTATAAATGATAATATGAATCTCGAACTCGTGCATAAAATTATGTTAAATTTTTTGATATTAAGACATTACAAAGACTGCGCTGTTGATTTTTAAAAAAGTTTCAATGTTTATCCGATTACTCGTATAACTTGATTACTTGCCATTGAATGTTACAAAAAATTGCAAAATCCACGAGAATAAGCTTTGAAGTATCGTAATATACCATTTTTATTCATGTAAACTTAAATGCGCAAACTTGTCATTTTTTTACGGTTGAAAAAAAATATGAGACGAGCAGGATTTCTTGTATATATTATAAATAAAATAACAATTTGCGCTGCCGGTCAATATTTTGATGGTTCGTGTGTAAGAGAGTTGTTAACAGAATCATTTGAAACCGAGTTACAATATACAAGCTTAAAAATTTCGGATAAGATCATTCTACAGAAATACAAGAAAATTGTGAATTTCATCAAGAGAATTTTTTTTTATGCATTCTTGACCACGAATAACATACTTCAGTGGAGCAAGATCTTTTTTTGTAGTTCATGAAATATGTTTGAAATATTGTTAAATTTCATGGTATTCTGTTATACTACATACATTTGTTTCAACATACTTTTAGGTAAGAATATCAATTACTTATAAATCTGCGTATTTATATTATTGTATAATTATTGAGCCGTTTACAGCTATTATGAAGAAAGTAATAATAATTTTTACCGAGTAAAAAAAATGTTTTTTATCGTACGAGACATTATCCTTTAAATTATTATTCGTATTTATTAACGAACATGTTGCTGCACTTAAACGAACTTTTGTACAATAATGCACGATTTTTGTCGGATAGAAAACGATACTCAAATTAAAGCACGTAAAGAATAAAATTATTGCTGGCTAATGAAGTATTTTGAGATGTTAAATATGCAATACCATCTTTATTTAGAATGTAAGAGAAAGTTTGAAATCGAAACCTTTGGCGATGATAACAGATTTCTATTTATGAAGATCGCGCGTAAAGACCAAAGTTGAAAACTACTAGAATTATAAATCAAGAATGAGAAATTGTGGGTAGAATTTTCCGTAAAGAGTTGTAATAAACTAGAGAAAATCTATTAAGAAATATTTATGTATTTATATGTGTATACATATCCTCCAAATAAATGTAATACATGTTTAAGCACGTTTTTTTTCTTTCTACTATTTCTTTTGACACATTGTTTCTCAGCTATATTGCGTACAGTTAAATATATAAATTAATTTCAATAAATTTTCTCTTTTAAATCGATAAAGTTAATAAATTAATAAATCTATGAGAGTTAAAATCTATAATTTATAGTTTTGATGCTCGGAAAAAAATACTTATCGGTTTTATAAATATAATTTTTTACCGAAATATTCAAACGATACACTCGATATATTTAACACATTTTTATTACACCCTAACAAACTTGAACAATTGATGAATATTTTTCGGAAGAAAAAATGTTAAATGTTAATTTTCCGCAGCGTTACACTTATTTCCTTGGTTATGACAATCAGCGCCAACTTGAAATGATCTCAATCCCAATTTCAACGGCAAAGACAATGGTATCTGATTTTTCAATCCAAATTTAAAAGGATTGTTGCTCAAAACTTCAGCTTTGTGTTCCGTTGTATTTTTACTATGCTGTCGAACAAACGCACAAGTAAATACTTTCTAAATTATTTTTCATAAATTTTTGAATCACCATAATTGTAGTTGAAGATTAAAAAGATTTTTTATTTCCAAAACCCTAAGACAATACCTAAAAATGTAATTTATTTGAAAAGGCAAGTATTATAAAAAATAAAAATAAATAGTCACTAATTTTTTTTTTAATTTACGAAAAAACTGTAGAGAGTAAAAAGATTACGTATTTTTAAAATTTCATCCACTTTTTTCGAATCATAGCAAAGACTACATTTTTACGTAATTTCAATAATCGTATTATTTATAACTGTTAATTTTTATAAATTAAAAGAATAATGGTACACATTTCTGAAAGCGTAAGAGCCTAATTTGATTTTTTTTTTTTTATTCAAGAATCGTGTTAAACGTAAGAAATTGTTTTGTCCGACGAATTAATATATTTTCCTTGAAATGTGAATAACGTGAAGGCAGAAGAAAAAAAAAAAAAAAAA